TCTCCCCAAACGAGCTTGATGGGCCGAATGGCCTCCTCTCGTTTGTAAATTTCTTATGTTCTTATGGGACAGTAACATTCCTAGTGTGTTCTGTGAGGCAGCTGTTCAGGTAATATTTATGTAATATATAGTTAGCATGCAATATATATATAGCATGTATTACTGAATGACAGATAGATAGATAGATCTATTATTTAACCAAAATAGTGGTATCATTTAACTGAAGACTAGATAGATAGATAGATAGATAGATAGATAGATAGATAGGTAGGTTTGTGCAAATAAATTCTACAGCTCTATAACATGAATCTTCTTCATGGCAAATCAAGACGGACTACTGCGGGAAAGCTGCTCAATTTAGTGGTAGAGGTACTCCAAATTTTTAATTAATTATAATGTCCTTTCTGTGATTGAATCCTTTTTTGTGCACCTTCGTTTCACTGTATACCGTGTATACAGCTGAAATGACAAATAAACCTATTTCAATTAATTGGCTACATATTTTGTTGTTTTTGCTATTATTAACTCACTTTCATGGTAGTACGTTTAATTCTATAACTATGTTAACTGTGCATTCCTCCCGATTAAGTATTTGTGCAATGTACAGAACTGGAAACAGAAATTTACAGGATTTCAGAAAAATTGTGGCCTTTCCGGAGCTGCCTGAATGTGGAAGTGATTTGTCGCCCTCTGGCGGTTCCTTGTGAGAAAGAAGCCCGAAATGTTAACGCTTTAGACTGGAAGCATCAGGCAGTCAGAGGAAGATGGCGACCCGAGTCCTTCAGAACGTGGGAAGGGGCCTGAGTCAGGCACGGAGCAAGGTCCACAGCGGGGGACAGCTTCTCCTCACCGCCAGGTCGGGGCGTTGCTCAGGGACCTGGGTTAGCGATCCTGTGCCTTGTGGAGCGGCTTATGTTTTTTCCCGGTTACTGCAATACGATGCGATACAACATGCACCCTTACGGTCGTCTAGCGAGCCCAGCTTCCATCCGTGGGGGCTTGGGGGGCGGTTGCAGTTTCTTGTTAATGTCGCGCACGATCACCGAGTGCAGAAGCGATTTTGCGGGCGAGGTCCTTTTCTCTCGGGTGCTTTTAAAACGATAGGGCAAACGTTCTGTGGGTGCACCGGGTTAGCACGCAGGCTAGTTCAAGGTCACATCCAGCGGTTGCTTTTTCCGTGCATAGGAGTAGCTGCCGCTTGCCATATTTAATGGGAAGCGTGCATCCCTTTGCGGTGGAGAGTGTCTACCGCCGCGACTCTCCCCGGCTCATCGTGCATAAGCGCACCGGCTCCTAACCCGTGCTGACCCATACGTAGTTGGCCTGCTCCGTGTCAACTATTGTGTTGCTTTGCTGGAAAGTAATTCCCCCTCCCGTTTTTAACATTTGATGTAACAAGAAGTGATGGATCAATGCAGAGTGAAATGTAATGCATAAAGTGGAACTGATTATATAAAGTCCACTTTACTTCGGTAGATTAGAAACCCTTGCATTTCTGAACCTCTATAGACGTTGAGTGATGGCGTTCCAGGTCTGTAAGAGACCATTGTTGTTATAGGGTCTGTGAAATGTTGCAGTGGCGTCACAAGGCCTGTGACATTATCACAACAATGTATGATCTGTACCTGGTTGAAAACTATAAGTACAGACAAGTGTACAAAACCCTAAACAATGTGAGAGAAGCGTATATCTAAGTATGGTATGTCTAAGTGCATATCTAGGTATGGAATATCTACGATCAGGTCAGTTCAGCACTGGTGTGAATGAGCTGTTCTTGTCCTGGGTTCTTGGATTCTTGTCCAAATGTGTGTGTGTGTGTGTGTGTGTGTGTATATATATGGTTGGTTTATAGTAAAGGGCTCAGGTCAACTGTTGGTTATTGTAACGCACTATAACGTGATTTTTCTTCAGGGGTCTTTCAGCATCCAATCACAAAAACCGGGAGGACAGCTGGTTTAAATCACTATTCGTTCGAAAGGTAGACCCCAGAAAGGATGCCCACTCTCATCTGCTTGCAAAGAAGGAGGACAGCAACCTGTACAAAATTCAGTGTAGGTTCCTGAGTGTGTCTTCTGGGGAGCTCCTCAAATCCACAGGCAACCCTATCATTATTTTGTGGATGGATTATATAATATAATATAATATTTTATGTACTGCATCCAAGAATTGGAGGCCTATGCCCAAAGCAGGGCCAGAGGTTAGATAGATAGATAGATAGATAGATAGATAGATATATTGTATTTTTGATTGTATTTTTCTCTCTATGTCTTGGTCCATGTCTCATTATGTTGTGATAAAACTGTCAGTATTGATGAGTGTATGATTTTTTTTATTGGTTTCTTGCAGTTCACAACGTTAAACCGGAGTGCCTGGATGCCTACAACAAGCTTTGGTAAGAGATCCAGTGATAATACTGCTTACTCGTGGATCCATAAATCTGACAGTCCAGTCGAAACTTGAGACGTTTGTCTCCAACGTGTTTGTTACAGGCCAACCGCCTTTTCTATTTTTAGGTCTGAGATAGCTGGAGGTACTGCCAGACAGACCATGCAATGGTCCAAATGGACTGTTGGCAGGAGTTTTTATTTATTTTTTACAAATGATACTCTTTTCATTGGACTTCTGAATTGAGAGCTTTTCTGCCATATTGACATCTGACAGAACAGGTGTTAAGTTTTATGGTCACTTGCTTGATCAAAGGCAACGTGTTTTCAAACAAATTTCTTCCTTGGAATTATGGGAAATCCAACACGCCGAAAGGTTCCATTTAATATAGTGCCGCCTTTCTGTGGTTCACCCCAAACGTTGGAGAGCTCTTGACGTTGGAGAATGCGTGTTAGCAGTGGCTGTTGGCACAGTGCTGAGAAGTTGAGTGAAGGTCACTTCAGCGAGGATCGGTATTGCTCAGCAGCTGTGCGGACATTTCAGTACCCTCTGCATGTGCAAGCCTTGGGGGTGCAGTCCTAACTCAAATGGGCTCCCAGTGTGTAAGATATTTAATGACATCAGGAGTTTTTCTACTTAAAATATCACCAAAATAACTTCACAGTGCAACAACTACCAATTATGAAAACAGTTGCTTTCTTAAATCAGCTAACATTGTTTGCAGCTGAAATGTACTTCTCTTTGTATAGCAGTAGCTGTCTTTCTAAGATTTTAACCTGCAATCTGGGCAAAAGGTAGCAGTTAAGTTTGCTGTAGGCTGGTGAATAGAAGATTGTCTGCTCAGGACCCGGTAGCGTGAAGTACTTCCAGTGGATTATCATGCTGTATAAACTGGATGAAGTGTAAAGTTGTGTTCTTTCTCCGCTTACAGTGAGAATGTGCTGCCATCGATCCACTCTGACCCACATTACCCCTGTGAGCTGGTAGGCACCTGGAACACATGGTATGGAGAGCAGGATCAAGCAGGTGGGAACACAAGGTTGAAGCTTCTGATACCATTATAAAAGTTTAACTTTAATGTAAAATTGGAGAGAGAGGCCTCCTTGGATGGCAGCAACACACTGTAACAATAAGAGAGACACAGATTCATTTTTCTAAAATATAAAAATAATAATATAGCTGTTGATGATGAAACCAAGATGGCGGCATGTGCAGACACAGCGGCTTCTCCAGAGCTTTGCACCTGATGTTTACTTGTACTCCGTGTTAATTTTAACAGCAAATTTTTATTTAGTTTTAGTCATAGTCTTTTGACTAAAATGTAATTTAGTTTCAGTCATAATTTAGTCATCCGAATTATTTTAGTTTTAGTCTAGATTTAGTCGACTAAATATCATAACATTATAGTCGACGAAAACTACAGTTGATTTAGTCAACTAAAATTAAAAGCGCAAAGTATAATGTTTAAAGTTTCCCTTCGATTTCTGAAAGTCATTATATTCACCAAGATGAAATGAAACCAATGTTAAGGAATGGTGTTAAGGTTTGACTATGCAGTACACAAATACACAGATTTCACTCTTATTTGAAGCACAAACATGTGTTTATTTACCCAGAAACTGAGTACTGTAAAATCAGTAGTGCCATTAGCGCAAAGATAAAATCAATTTAAAGAAAAAGTGCATAGGCCACCAGGCCTGCTCTCTCTGAATCTTAAAATGAAAATAAATATTTGTAATATTTTTATTTGCTATTGTTCGCTGTTAAATGTTTCACCTGAAATTCTCAAATATGTTCAAAGGAAAAGACCAATAATGGTATCAGGGATATATAACCATTATCAAGAAAAAAAAATCCAAACATTGAAAACATACTTCTCAACAGCTATCAGTGGCAGGAAGTGTAACCATTCTATTTTAGCATTTTCAGCATCAAAATAATTACCCCAAGGCTACAATTCTATTAGTGTATAGAGCCAAAAATCAACTCTCCTCTCTTTCAGGTGATTTCATGTTCGTTTAAGTTTCCCCTTTTTAACAACTGTATAAAGTAATGTTATTTGTTATATAAATCAACTCAGGTGAAACTAAAAAATGTACGTTTTCAGGGTTGCCAAATCTCAAAAATCAGGCATGATACGCTTTCAGACTCACGCGGGAAATCTTACGGCAAATCTATATTATTCCATTATAAACCTAAAATTGGCTACTTCAAAAGTGTATTTACACGGTTAGATACAAAAGCAGACTATTATACAAGGTAAGAACTGTTACTTGTGTGTGCAGACATCTCGATTTGAAAATTTCACTCCAGCCAGCTGGCCGAAGTTGGCAACCCCGCGTTTTATTTGAAATGAAAAGTAAAATGTGCTGTTTTCGCCTGAAACGGCTCGTTATTCCGTTTGCGTTGTTACTCCGACAAGTATAAAGCTAATATGAGAAAAAACATGTCATGTTTTATATCTTTTCGAAATAATATCACCGCCTGTATCCTACTCTAATAGCGATTGAAGTGAAAAGTTCATTTATTTATATTAAAATGAGATTTTAATTTTATTACCGTGTGGGATTATCGAAACCAATACTTAAATCCATGAACACTAAAATATAGGACATAAAAACGATTGTATTAGGGTTTTATGGCTTAGGTTAATCACTTTATTTAAACATGCACAATTTTCACATTTTATTTTCTCTTATTTTGAGATGCAGCCCTACTTTTAAAATGTCCTTTTGAAACTATAGTAAATGAGAAAGCATTATACATACATCGGCTATATGTTCAGCTCTATGTCACATGACAATAAATATTGCCAAAAAGTTTTTGAATAGTGCTGAATTAATTTGATTTGACAGTCAGGTATTGATTACATGCAATGTTGATACAACTAATAGGCTACTTAAATATATATCACACTAAATAGTTAGACATTACGATCTTCCGGACCTTTGCTTCAAGAAAATTTCTCGAACTCTATCTATTTAAATTTCAGTTGAATACCCCTGCCTTACAATCAGAAATAATGTAGTTTGCGTATCTCGTCTCTGGCAAACATTTTCGTCTTTATTCGTTGACGAAAGTGTCAATACACTTCGTCATAGTCTTAATTAGGCCTCGTGAAATCATTTTTATTTAGTTATCGTCGTGTTTTATTCTGAAAATAAAGGTCGTTGACGATAACGATGACGAAACTTTTTCGTTAAAATTAACACTGCTTGTACTGTTTCATTGTTGCATGCCATTGTGCATTATCCATTATTTATTGTTCAGCTGTGCTTTGTTCTAGCTGTTTGATGGTATGCAGAAATGCAGTTCTGTATCTTGAGTAAAGTAACTTGATTTTAAGAAATGTAGCTCAAAAATTATGAATGTATTTCGAATTTTATTGTCTTTTAGGCATTGGTAGATCCTTGGAGAATGTCTTTTTATTCAGTGTTTCAGGTTAAATTGAATATCTTGTTGGGAGATCAGATGTACAGGATCCATGATGTGATCTGTAAACTACCTTTTCTCTCTCCCTGCAGTTCATTTGTGGCGATATCGAGGAGGTTACCCAGCTCTTACTGAAGTCATGAATAAACTTCGGATGAATAAGGTACTTTCAATGCAAGCCATTTCCTCATTGTAAGCTTGTAGACTCAGTCCAACACACATAGTAGACATAATAATAATAATAATAGCGGTCACTATGACAACCTGGAGATTACAGTGATGCCATATAAAAGCTTTGGGATTCTTTTTGGGATTCTTCCACAAGGTGCACACTGCAACCCTTACTAACATAAGTGATTTTACCTGGGGTGCACTGGGTGAAATTGCACCCCCTAGTGGTCAGATGAAAATGCTATTTGAACATATTAAGTTAAGTGAAATTTAAATATTGTAAAGTTATATTTGAAGATGTGGCTTGTATTAGACATATCCATGTGTAATAATTTATTGTAAATGTATTTACAGTTTGTAACGCATGCCTCTTATGACACTCAGTTGGCTGACTCTGTCTTTCACACCCCCTACAGGAATTCATGGAGTACCGCAACGAGCGAGGCAAGATGCTCCTGTCCCGACGCAACCAGCTGCTGCTAGAGTTCAGCTTCTGGAATGAGCCGCTCCCCAGGAAGGGGCCCCTCATCTATGAGCTGAGGTCCTACCAGCTCAGGGTGAGTCTCCTTCCTTTGGCTCCTCCCACCTTCATTTCCATGGTGTCCTGCTGCGTCTAAATGCTGATTTATCCTTCTACGCTGTGAACTACACATGTGGCCAACGCCATTGCAAGCATTTGTAATTGTGCATCGGTGTGTTTGTGTCACTCAGCAATTACGCCACCAAAACTCTAGGTGAAACATAGTTTCGGATGTTGCATTTATTGTCTTCCCACCCTGCAATATACACAATTGTTAAATCACTCAATTGAAAGAGAAGAATAGCATTAAAGTATCCGTTTATCAACTCCTGGTTATATTTGTACTGCTCCGAACTTCCTGTAGACAAATTAGGAAAAATGTTGAGCCGCTACAAAGTCACTTTTTATGCATTTTCCGTAATGAAGGAGAGTGAAATTGGCGCCGTCATCCTGAGTGTTTTGTTGGTACGATGCCCAGGGTGGTCAATTTAACACTAGATATAAATGGCGCGTGCATGACTACGTCGTACTTAGGCGTCGATTCCACTAAGAAATTTAAATCAGCCTTAAGCCCGTCATAACTTCTAAAAATTGTTTTATACAGAGCAGTCACCTGAATGCATATAACAGCACAGTTATTTTTCAGAGATGTGATTTTGAGCTTTGAGGATCTGTCCCTTAACCATGACATTCACTGGGTTTAACTCTGTCCTTGTTTTTCAGCCTGGGACGATGATTGAGTGGGGAAATTACTGGTAAGTTTCAGTTTAATCCAGCTGTTCTTGTGTATTTGTGTGAGTTTTATCTTCCCGTTTCTGCAGGGGCCATGATGATGATGTTAAACTGTTTTGATTTGCTAATATATTCATTCCAGGGGTGGCTCACAAAGGGAGGTGTTTGTTTGTTCTGTAAAATCACTGGCCTGTCATGCCACTAGACAGCAATCTATATACTGATTGAAATTACTGTTGCCTCTCAACAGATTGTTATTGTGAACAAATGAAAGTGGACCATGCATCTCCTAAAGATGTAACATGAGCGTATCTCCCTGGAGACGGCATCACATTTTCAGAGGACACCTGCGTGTTTCGTTGTGCTTGCAAGCCTCATTTATTCGCAGTCTGCTTGCCCAAATAATCAGCAGTGGCCCTGCCGTCGATTTGAATATGTAAATGGATCAGTTCTTCACCTGTTCGCTGAGTTCCGTAGTGGTGATTCATTCATAATGGTGATTCATGTTCTCTGATAAGTTTTGCATGGTGAGGATTGAAAATCATTTCAAATTGCTCATGGGAATTTTATTTACACAAAATTGTTCTCAGGGCAGAAGGACCAATGATTGGTTCAGGGAGACAACCAATCAGATTGTAGAGGAGGTGGGTCCCAGCAACTAGAGGAGGTGGGACCAACCAACTGGATGTCTTAAACCCACCTCCTCTACAACCTGATTGGTTGTCTCTCTGAACCTATCATTGTTCCTTGTGCTCTCAGAACATTTTTGTGTAAGTAAAACTCCCACAAGATTTCAAATTACGCTGTAATTAATATTTTAAAGAACTGAATAAGGTAGTAAAACAAGAACAGTGGAGGAAGAGGCGTGTATGATTTATGCTGGAGTGGATCAGGGCAGGTTGGTGTTCTGACTGAACCCGTGTGTGTGTGTGTGTGTCCAGGGCCCGGGCCATCCGGTACCGCCAGCAGAATGAGGAGGCAGTGGGCGGCTTCTTCTCACAGATTGGGAGCCTCTACATGGTGCACCATCTCTGGGGTAAAGGGTCTGACCTATAAAAGGAGGGACCTTCTGTCATTGTGTTTCTGACCTGAAATTTGATCACTGATTTTGAAGATAGGAGAGTGTAAATGTTACAGATAGTTAACAATTAGTCATTTTTCTACTGCGATTCTGACATGTTCCTTAGATATCTGTGACTATGACTCTGTAATTGAACAGCAATCTTAGTTCAATGTTCAAGTAATAATAATAATAAAGAAGAAAAGGAAGAATTTATATAATACTTTTCATTCATAAAACACAGCTGAAAATGGTTCACATATGAGATTAAAGATAGTTGTATAAAATAAGCAGCTATGGTACAAGATAAAAAAAGTGTAAAAAGATGGAATTAAAAAATAAGCAAATTCATTTAGTGAAATGTCAATAAATAAATCAAATATAAATAGGAATACATTACACAAGATAAGAATACAACGGAATAAAAAGGTCAAAAACAGAAAAGTATAAGCTAATAAAAACTGGAAATCACTACTGTGTAATATGGGTAAAGGGAGATAAATGACATATTTAGTAAAATAACACAAGTAAATAATAACACAATGAGAAAGAGAACAAGAAACTGTGAAGGTTTGATACCTGTCCATCCCAAAGTCACACAAAGCCTTTTGTTCTTCATACCAGATCACCTTCACAGCTCTAATGCTCTAATGCCCTTTAGTCCAGTTAAAGTGTCTTATTTCTTTGTGTTGTTTTCTGTTTTTCTTGTTTTTTTTTATCTGTCTTCAGCTTACAAAGATCTTCAGTCTCGAGAAGACACCAGAAATTCAGCTTGGCAGATGGAGGGCTGGGATGAAGTGGTATATTACACAGGTGAGTGCTCTCCTATGTAGGAGAGTCACTGCAGAGTCACTGCAGAGTCAGTGTGCTCATAGCGCTGTCTGTCATGCAGAACATTGGCACTGCCTCGGCGTGCTGAATTTTTAAATATTCGGTCCAGACGGGTTTTGTTTCCTTTTTGTTTTTACATCTCCTCCCATATATGGTGAATTATTAAGCATCTCGTTGGCACTCAGGCTGCCAAAAGGTATCAACGAACAATCTGCTAATATGTTTTTTAATTCTCTGTTGTTTAAGTTCCTCTGATTCAACACATGGAGTCCAGGATCATGATTCCCCTGAAGATATCACCACTGAAGTAACACTCCCCTCTGCATCCTCCTGAAATACAGGGATACTTCTCCAGCAGATCGAGACCCACGTCCAAACCCCACACTGCCATCGTTTTAAGCTCCTTTTTATCAACGTTGGCGACCTCTGTCCACTTTTTTTTTTCTTTTTCCTTTGGTAGTTTTTTCACTGTAAAGCATTTCTAGGTTATTTAACGATAAACTCCCTAAAACATTTAAAACTAAGGGGTAGATATAATGCTGCGATGATGACCTGCTACGAGGCAATGAAATTTTACAGTAAAAATCTGCCAAAAAGCTAGTAACAGGTGACCAGAATCTGACCTCCTCAGTTAGAGCTCCAGGATCTGTGGCTTAGGCCATAACGTAACGCACACGCCATTTCTGCTAAGACCTGTGTTTGACTCTGTGTGATCAGCCCCTCCACCTACCAAACGGTCGTCCTTAGCCTGCATGCTCCATATCGTTGTAAGTTGGAGTAGTTTATGCAGAGAGTGACTTACTCTCCCAAGTTTTCCTGGCCCAGCAGGACTGTGCCTCTCAGCCGTACAGAACTTCACCTCTGTCTCAGACGGACCCTGCAAAGTTCCCTTCTTTTAAATTAGCCCTATAACAACACAAGAGTTGGTCAGCTTATAAAAGCTGTAAAAATAGCTTTGGTTCTGCTTTGAAAATAAATGAGAAGCTCAGGGCTTTTAGTGACATTAAAATCCTATAGCGTTAAGTGGCTTCAGGTTTAGTGGCCTCGCTTTGACACCACAGGTATGAAGTGTCTAGAAGAACATGCCAGAATCCAGGAAGTTAGATGACGGTTCCTTCTGAAATACCACAGAGTCTGTGATGCAGCCCTCTGTAGAGGCAAATGTTAAGATGCTTTTTACTGGCAGATTTTCAAAATTGGACTGCCCTTTCAGTCACTGTAAAGTAACTTACCTCCTGCAAGATAAATTATAATTCTGGTACACTTGGACATTTTCATTTTCTTTTTGATCGGTAAAATTAGTACTTGGGTGCTGGTTTTTTTTTTTTTTTGTAGTTATGGCCTTGTTTGGGTTTTATCGTTTGAATCATGTCTCTACCCTGATCGTTTATTTTTAATTGTGTCTGCGGCAAATGAATGATTCAGGTCAAATGGCATCGTCATGCGGGCAGTTGTTAGCATGTCTCATCTTTGTTTATGTCATTTCAAGGGCAGTTTCTGGACAGTGAGCACCACATGTAAACATAGCAGCACATGAATAAAAAAGATTTAAATTAGAACATTTTCAAAGTGAATATGTAACATTGTCTTTGTTGTTCTACCAGCAGCAGGTCATGGGGTTGCAGTTTCATCACATTCAGGTAGCAAAATTCTCTAATTTCCGATAGATTTTTAAAATTGGGATTCAAATAAGTTTTGGAGGTTTTTATTAACAAAAGTATTGGGACAAGCCTCCTAGTCACTGAATTCTGGTGTTTCATTCAGACCCATTGCCACAGGTGTATAACATAGAGCACCTAGCCATACAGTCAGGTTTACAAACATTTATGAAAGAATGGGTCGTTCTGAAGACCTCAGTAAATTAAAGCACAATACTGTCATAGGATGCCACCTTTGCAATAAGTCAGTTCATGAAATGTCTTCCCTGCTAGGTGTTCCATGGTCAACTGTATGTGGTATTATTGCAAAATGGAAGCATTTAGGAACAACAGAAGCTCTGCCAAGAAGTGGCAGACCACGTAAAGTTGACTCAATAATGGAAGAGTTTCAAACCTCTGGACCAACTCCATTTTGATGCCTATGGATTTAGAATGGGATGTCATAAAAGTTCCTGTAGGTGTACTGGACAGACGTCCCCATACTTTTGTCCATATAGTATATACCATCAAACTGTCAAAAAAACAGTAAGGTGCACTAGTTCCAACTAAAATTCTGTCTAGTATGACTAAGTTTTCAGGTTCAAGTATTTAATGAGAAAGAGGGTGGCTTAGTGGTTAAGAAAAAATAACCAGTAGGATTTTGCTGCAGCACTTTAGTACTTTTGAAGAGGGGGTGCTGGACAGGCACGTAGCCACATAATAAAATAACAGGTCTGGAGCCCCCATGAAATTTATTTAAAACCCCTCGGTACTACGGGATCCCTACAATAAAGTTTGCTGAGCCAGGGGTACGACGGGAATCCGGGACAAATCACTAAATGATTAAAGCCAAAAAAAATGGCATATAACCGCCTATAATTTGTGATAGTTACCAAATACCTAAGTGATTATATTTAGTCGTTGGTCTAATTATTAATAGCAAGTTATTGATTACAGTTAAATGCGTTTTTTTTTTTTGTTAACTGCAGATAAAGTTACGAATAAAGTTACGAATTTTACCCCACCTAATATTTATCGTTTTGAATAACGCAGGTGAAAATCAAAGGAAGGTTTACTGGCCAGGTTTACTGTCTGTGACTGATGTTGAGTTTAAAACATTCCAACGTAGTTTTCATTTTAGTTGTTGATTTTTTTTAGAAAATATTTTATCTGCACTGAAAATGTGGAGCTTGGTATCTTTGCGCGAACTGGAAGACAATGAAATCATTAGGACGGTAATTAGACATTAATGTGTCTAAATAAACAAAGTGTTTTATTTTAAACTAAAAAAAAAATCACAAACATTAACACAGTAAAATATAATGAACAGATTTTGGTCGGAACCATTTTGTGATCACTGGAGTTTCTACCCGTAACCTTAAAAGGAGGACACTCGACTCGTCGCAAGTAGACCTGAGATTTATCGATGATTCTAGCTTTTAATATTAATCACTTTTTTTTGCACGGTACATGCTGTCTATGACACATTTGTTTCGCGTAAATAGGACAAGGCGTTCATGTTTGCAATGACCGTGATCCGTCCGGGAACACTGCTGCTCCTGTGTTTCTGTGCACTATCCTGCAGATCAGGTAGTACCGAGACAGCGGTTCAGGATTTTGATTCATATAAAAAAGGACCCCATTTGAAAGTGAAATAATAACGTGTGTAGACACAATTAAGAAGATGCATGTTTTCAAAGAAGATAGCTCTTTTCACTTCGCTAGCATTAACTCAATCTGTAGAAACTTTATTTTGATTGGTAGTCCCCTTTGATAGACATAGTTCTGTTAATGGTGATGATGGTGAGTTAATTGAAGGCAGACGCAGGGTTGTCAGCTGTGGTCAGCTGGCTGGCATGAGATTTTCAATTCGAGACAAGTCTGCACACACATGCACACACATTAACATGTATTACCTTGTAAATTGTCTGTAGGGTTTGCAAACTGACCCAACGCTTCTGATGTAGCTTTAAGTTAAGAACTAATTTTAAGTTCACAATGGGACAATATAGATATCTTACATGTGCTAGAGTCTGAAAGCGTGAGTGTCACGCCAGATGCGTGAGAGTTGGCAACCCTGCAGATTTCAATGAAATTCCTCGTAAAGGGTAATATCTGAACTGCATTCCATAGATGATGGAAAAATGGTGCAGATACCAGGAGGTAAGATGAAAATGGGGACGAGTGCCAGCGATGGCAGAGATGGGGAGTCGCCGGTGAAGGACATTTCAGTGGCTCCTTTCAGCATTGACATGCACCCTGTCACTAATCTGGACTTCAGGTGGGTGTCTCAAGACAAAAACACAAATGTCCACTATTGATCTGTTTACAGAGCCGTGTATTCTCCTTAAATGTCACATGCCGTGTGCATTCTTCTTGGTAAACAGAGAGTTTGTTCGGGAACAAAAGTATAAAACTGAGGCTGAAACCTTTGGCTGGAGTTTCGTTTTCCAAGATTTTGTTTCTGAGGAGCTGAAGAGTAAAGTGACCAAAAGGATTGAGGTAAATTTCACTTCTGTTGTTCTGTTATGCTCATGTTGGGTAATTTATGTACTGTTGTTTTTTAAAACATCTTCATAAACAACAGTGTCTGTCTGTGATCTGTATGTCCACAGTCTGCGCCTTGGTGGCTGCCGTTAGAGAAGGTGTACTGGAGACAGGTATCTTCATCCTACCTGTCCATCCTTTTTCCATAACCGCTTATCCAGTACCATGTTGCAGTGACCCTCATCTTATTTTAAGCTAAAAAAAAATGCAGGTGTTACATAGATGACTGCCTTAAAATACGAACAGTGTAAATTAGAATTTTGCCATCTTGCTCATTTGACTTCTTCTGTCGCCCCCTGGAGGACGGGCTCTGCCTTTGAGGCTTGTTCCTCCCAAGGTTTCTTCCTTCTTGGGAGCTTTTCCTTGCCACTGTCGCCGCTGACTTGCTCGCTTGGTGCTTTAGGCAGGGATGATGTAAAGGGCTTTGAGACAATGGAATGTTGTGAAAATGCGCTATACAGATAAAACGGAATTGAATTGAATTAATGCTTGAGTTCAAGGCCAGAATAAATTATTCGAGGTGGAATTTCTTCTAGATCTGTCTCTTACCTCTGCTTTTGGCTCAACTTTGATTTGCTAAAATCAGGGACATTTTTTCAATTTTTTTGTAAATACTCCATCAGAGTATATGGCATACACCAGGGCTATTCAAATCACGGCCCTCAAGGGCCAAGCACTGCTGATTTCCCAGCCGTCCTTTACCTGTGAGCCAAGTGTGAAGCCTCTGGCCAATCAGAATCAGTGATTATTAAACTATCTACCTGGGAGAACTGAAAACAAGGCCTGTATTTGGAATTGAGGCCCTGGCATACACTGTCACACATAACGGGAAAATCGCTCCCTGCCCAGCCTGCAGGCCCAAGCTCCAGTATCAAGGATCGCCTGGATTCGCCTGTGGTGCAGGTGAGCTGGAACGATGCCCAGGCCTTCTGCAAGTGGAGAGGGAAGCGGCTGCCTTCGGAGGAGGAGTGGGAGTTTGCCGCCCGGGGGGGTCTCCAAGGTGTATCTTTCTCATTATGCTCTAGCTCTGTCATACTGACAACCTCTGGGTGCAGGAATAACTGCTGAGGCAGACTTGCTGAGCTGTTCATGGTCTGTCTCGTTTTCTCAGTGAGCATTAACACTAGCGATGGGTGAAATGACTCTTTGCTACACAGTTTGATACATTTCACCAAAAAGATTCATTCTGATTTGTTCACCAACTCATTCAGTGGCACTGCCTGTTTGCATAAAATAGATCTGAAACCCTTATGTTCTGATATGTCCAAAAATAGCCTATTATTTAGGCTAAATAGTGCTAAGGAGTTAGCTAAATACCACTAATAAGTCATGTGAGGAAAAATATTTGCTATTGAACTATAATCTAAGTAATATGCAATTGCACCTTAGCGACTCATGTTTGTTAAAAACGTGAATCTAACAGCTCATCTCATCGTCAGCTAATGAGTCCAAATGCTATTTTAAATCATGAAAATGTTAAATCTCTAAAATCCAATTGCAGCATAGGAGAAGTCACTTCACATGTAGGCTGTATACTACACCAGTTGATGGTGTATTTCAGTCATGGATGAGGTACGGCTCTCTCACTCAGTAACTTTTCTGAGTCTCTTGTTCATCGACTCACTGATTCGGTCGTTCATTCACTTTAGGCATATACGTTCAGTCTCAGGTTTAGTTTACAGCCATCATACGCTTGCTTACGGCCCTTACATTCCTCACTGTCTCGCTGGCTGTAGTCGAGGAGGGAAGCAGCACTGCATGTCATATTTCTAAGGACAAGCAGAAGAACTAAAAGAGCGCATCTTTGCAGGGAACTGAACGTGCAAAGGAGTTATCTGCGAATGTCACACCATTAAATGCCATGTCTTTGGTCAGGTGAATGACTTCATGCATCACAGTTGATTACAAATTAATTGATACTTTCAATGAATAGAACTGTACTCTTAAAAAGCCCTGTTGCTTCACTGGTTAAAGTGCCTGCCTGCTAAACAGGAGGTCCTGGGTTTGAATCCCAACAGTCCATGTAGTGTTTTTAATCACTGGATTGGTTTGGGACATGGCTGGTAAATCAGTGTTAACTACTGAATAATAGGTATAGGATAACAAAGAATTCTCTACAATCTCTGTATGATGGACCTTTTTCAGGAAGGACCTACCCTTGGGGCAACAAGTTTCAGTTAAATCGAACTAATTTATGGCAGGTGAGTGAAACACTTTAATCCCTTTTAATATCTAATGAAGGGCATTTATATTTTCCTTAAGAGTTTTAAAATGAGTTGACCTAGATAACCATCAGTTAACTAAATGTTTAATCATGATGTCTGGTGTCCCCTGGTGGCTGGTGTGTGGCAGGGCAAATTCCCAGAGAGGGATACTGCTGAAGACGGTTACCATGGGATTTCCCCTGTCACAGCCTTCCCTCCTCAGAATAATTATGGTATGTCTGTGTAGCCGGCAGCCTTTTATTACATTGCTAATCCCATTAAACACCGTTCAAGCTGTTTACTATACTTAATTTAACAAATTTTAATGATAATACTTCGTTCACCATTATGCATAGGAATTCTTTACTTGTCGCATATCCCATCTTGTTCTCCTTAGCTTACGCTCGGCGCACAGGGTCAGCCATTTTTCTGGCACACATGGAGTATTTTGCATTTGACACCTTGTAGTGGGGTCACAAAAGACTGCAAATGGTTCATGAAACTACATTTGGTTATGAGTACTGGACAGTACTGTTGGCACATTGCAGGTCTTTTCATACTAAGACTTAATTTCAAATTTTATCTATCTATCTAATCTATCTATCTAATCTATCGCTGAGTTCGCCCCGTACAGGTCTGTATGACATGATGGGGAATGCTTGGGAGTGGACTTCCACTCGTTTTCCCGGATCACAGACTATGTACGTTCTGCGGGGTGCTTCTTGGATCGACACTGTGGATGGATCGGCCAATCACAGGGCTCGGGTCACTACCAGGTATGCCCCATCTCTGTGCTCCGCCTCCTTACATTTTAAGGTCCCTTCGCTGTTCTGCCCTGACAGCTTGTTTCCTGGGGTCCTGCAGAATGGGGAACACGCCGGATTCTGCCTCTGACAACCTGGGATTCCGATGTGTAGCCAGTGTCCAGCCTAGAAAGCAAAGAGGTGCTGAGCTATGAGGGACCCCCAAAGATGGAAAAGGGGAATCAGGAAGTCTTTTTTGTACTTTCTTAACAGTAGCTGTAACGTTGACAATAAAAAGAGCTCTATTTTCAAGAAAAAAAATTATCATTGTGTCTTACCATAGAATAACAACAGATTAACACCAGAAAACAATTTGTCGGCTTATTGGGTCGTGATAAAGGCTTTAGATTAATTTGTTATTGTTTATCATGCAGTGTTTGACACTTTCCGTAAACATTGTTTTACTATTTAAATATTATTGGTAAAAACACAAGAGAGAGCCCAAAATGTTCATGTTCTGAATGATATCAATTAAGAGCTAAATGGACTCTGTTCTAGATCAGGTATTTCATAATAATCTCATATATACAAAGTTAAATTTGTGGCAAGGTAGTGAAATGCATTGATTGTGTATTAAATATATTTCATACAAATGTTTAGGTAGCGATAACCATGTAAATGGTACTTTGGTATTTACAGTGTTACTCTGGGTGTTTTCAGTTTTTTGTATTACAAGCAGTGACATTGATTTATTCAGGCAAATGGCCTCACACATAACAGTTGATTACAGATTAAAACTGAAGAACATCCATTCAAAAATAGGAAGAAGCATTACAGCCATTTAAGGAATAATGGCATCGTCTCCATAGAGACTCTGCAATGTGTGATCAGATTATTCTCTCTGTGAGTGCAACCTTAGCCAGCGGGATACTGGAAAACACAGGAATGCTAAGTAGTTAAAAAAAAAAAAAGCTGCACTCTTGCACTCTTGAGAGAGGAGGAATGCCCCCCCCCCCCCCCCACTGAGGGAAAGTTCAAATTGCCCTATTTTATTTACAGAATATATAGTAAGATAACTGATCATTACTGTTTTTTTTTCAGCACAGCAATAACACCATATTCCCTTCTCATTACTTCATCATGATATTGTATAAAATATGGGGTGATGCTGATGGTTGCCAGGGTTACTGCAATGACAAATCATCACAGCCTGGCAAGTCCTGTCATTAGCATGCGGTGCACAGAATGCTCTGTCTGCACTTCAGGTCCGGATGAAGATCTCAGCCAAGTAAGAAAATAATAACAGAAAGCTGTGTAAGGCCCAAAACATTGAGTTTACTGCTCCATAGAACTGTGGTACCAGTACCTTCTGCTATGGTGAAGATAATATAATGCAGAACAAATTTTCTCCAATATTATTTTCACTCAACACCCTTTTCAGTGATATTTGCACCTGTGAGGGTTACCTATTGGGCCAGCGCCTCCTCCTGGGACCGGAACCAACAACCCCTGCACACTGTTCCATTACCCTGATAGGCAGGTACTGAACCCAATTAAAGTACAGTTAATAAAATCTTAAGAACATAAGAACTATACAAACGAGAGGTATCCATTCGGCCGATCGAGCTCGCTTGGGGAGAACTTAACTAATCTTACCAAAATCATCCTGTCCCTCTCAGTTGAAAGAATGAACATTTTTTAAAAAACCACAGAAACCTTTGAGAATTACAAATTCTCAATTACTGCATCTCTTCATTTTGATTTTACATTTTGATGTCTGACTTGAACAACTGAACACATATGATTCAGTTAAATAAAAATGCTAAACTTCGACTATAGCCTGTATCCAAGCCTTCGTTAGTCAATTAGAAGCGAACTGGAAAACCTTTCTAAGAGCTTGATACTCTCAATTAATACTACTTATAAACGACCAGCAGAGGCGCCGTGGCTTAGTTGGTTAAAGCGCCTGTCTAGTAAACAGGAGATCCTGGGTTCGAATCCCAGCGGTGCCTCAGGCATTTTTAAATCATGGATTAGTTTGCGACACGGCTGAAAAACCCAATGTTCACTACTGAATACTAGCTATACTATAGGAGTATAGGCTAACTTTGAATGGACCGCCACAGACCAGTTCAAAGACTGATGAGTACGAAGTGACCGCTCGTGTATCGGACTGGTATCTCTGACCGTCATCGGGCGCATATGGCTCCAGGTTAATCGAGTAACATTTGCAACGTTTTTAAGTTTAAAACCGGCACAAAGCTTTGTGTGACGTCGCTTTAATCTTCCCTATTCGGTGTAATGCATCAGTCTCGTAAGACATAGCTGAAAGCACAAGGTCCGGTAAACACCCCGCAAACTAACAGGAACCGTCAGCCACAAAGGGGATCCTGTTTCTCTCCCCCCGAAAGAAGCGACGCCTCCGGGACCCGAGGCTGATGTCGGAGCTGCGGGCTCAAGTTGCAAGTTTCATTACATTTGTACACAGCGCAATGAAATAACGTTTAACTCCTAAAATCTTTAATCGTTATTTTATTATTCGCATGACCAATGTGGTTAAGGTTGCGGTAATTTTCTGGAATGAAAGAACTGCAGTACTGTATAGTCAACATAGAAGGGGTCTTGTGGTGTCATATTTCAAATACATATCTAGTGCTTGTTGCCATTTGTGGTACAATTTATGGTTTGGCTAAATTCAATCAGCACTGTATATATGATATATAATGGTATATACAATATGTATGAGTTGAAATCTACAAGAATTGTGATCAGTTTAAATAACATGAAATGAAATATAATACACCAATGTAATTAAAGCTTAATAAATAAGTTATATCCAAGGAGAACGAGTAACACTGCTTCCCTAGACCCACGGGGAGAGAAATATTCCAGATAACATGATTAACAAGGCCTTAGTTTAACCTTGAACTGAGCTGCCTGTTGTCAAAGCGGCATACCCCAAGGTGTTCATATGAATGACTAATAATGATGACGACTGTGCTGCAAATCCACAACATTGTCCAAGCATGAAGTTCTGCAATTAATTTGATTTTCCATGTTTTCTGAATCCTGAAGGAAATGATGCCTTTTTTGATGACTTAATAGTACCAGCAAGTTCTCCCTGTGTTCTCACAATTAACTCTTACTACAAGTCCGTTTTACTTCTTACTTGAACACGAGGGCAGGTTACTTTCGTAGTAACTGATTTAGAACCTAATCTCGGTTTCTGGAATTGAAAATCCCACATTCCTATGAAGTCAACATACCTGGATTAGCTGCTAAAGCCACTTTCCAGTGCACCTCTCAGGACAGATGCTTGTTGGTCTATTTGTGGTTTTGTTCTTAGTGCAGAATTTCTGTCTTTCAGACTCACTTTACAGACAAATAAATTACCACAAGCCCAGACTGTGTTACACCCTGAAAATAAAGGTTCCGTGCTTTGACTGTGCCATTCAGGTTTATGTCGTAATTCATCCCTGATCTGGCTGTGACCCAATGTGCAACAGGAGGCTTCGTGATCAGTGCTTCCCAACTTGGTTTTCGGGGACCCACAGATGGTCCATGTTTTTGCTCCCCCCCAGCTCGTGGTGAAGGGAGCAAAAACGTGGACTGTCTATGGTATCTGTATCATTTGATTGAGCAGGAGGGTAGCCTGGACATAATTATTATCCATGAAGCAAAAGAGCAGTTTGCCCTAATGATTCATCTTCTAACCATTTATCCTGATCAGGGTTACAGGGCCCCAAAGATCTTAACATACAGATAGAATATGAATCTTTATTTAAATACCATTTTGCCTTTTATGACAGTACACTGAGGACTTCATCATTCATACAAAACAACGTATTTATTTTTACTTGACAATGCATGCTTCCTAAGAATGTGGAGTATATCTGCAGTGTTTGCTGCAATCTAAACAAGGGATGGGCAATCCGCGTATGCGGGTTTTCACTGCAACTCTCTAATTACACTATTAATTAAAGGACTGATTGGCTGAAGAGTTCTCACACCCGGATTTGAGCAGGGGACCTAAAAGTTATGCCCAAAGCCTGCATACACACTGGCCTGCCTACCCCTAATCTAAACCATTAAGGTCAATTAAATAAAACTCCATACAGATACATCACCACACTGCACCTTCTGCTCACTCTACCTGATTGTCCACTGTCACCATATTCCACAAAGACATAATAATGACGCTTGTTCTAGTCTCTGCTTTGCTCCTGGTAGCTGGAGACCCCAAGCCAACCCAGTGAAGGACTCAACCCTCAATGTGCATTTCTCCTCAAATAAACCGAACACATACAACATTCCAACCTCTCGCACGATATAAAAGCAGCTCTGCTGCAATTGCTTACTTTCACGAATACATGACATAGAGCAAGTTGCATGGAGCTTAGTAATAAATGACACGAAACCAAGAGCAGTGCATTGAAGGAGAACTGGGACACGTACACCTTGACAAGCAAAACACGGTTCACACGTGTAGATGTGTTGTCACCTAAAAGAGAAGTTAAATGCGAACAAGCCACGTTTACACATCTGCACGTGACACCCAAGTGGACAGAGTGGAGAGGGCAGTCTTGACAGCCACTCACAGCACACTAGAAAGATAAAACCACGACTATGACAGTGCAGGTAGAACAACACTAATAAACGTTTAAAAGAAATCGATCTGATTACATCACCTACTACTAAAGTTAAGAGGAACACGTCAGTTAATTATTGATCTGTATTTCATCATAAAAGCTGCAGGAACTCTGGCCTTGAGGTTAGAGTTTTCACACTAATCAAAGAATGAATCTTGAAATGTAAAATGTCATTCAAGTCAATAGATGAGAGGACCAGAAGACCCTCACCCCAACTGCATAGGTAATAGGTCTGTATTGTTGCGCCATCTAGTGTGTGGAATGTAGAGACAAGGTGAGTGGCAATATGCCCTATTACTCTTCCAATAAACATGTAAATATGTTTCTATACAAAATCATTAAAATGACACAGAAAGAACTATTTAACTACAATTACAATTTTGCAGGATATGTCTATATGTATCTATATAAATATCCATGAACATAAATATGGTAGTCGTTTACACGAGCACTCGTACAGTCAACGGGTTGATTTCCGCCTTCCAACTGCCAGCAGGGGGGCGGGGCTAGGCCTAAAGAAGGAACACGTGGGAGCTGTTCGGCCCCATCTACCAACTGCCAACAAGGTTGAAGCTAAGTCTGCACAAAGTGAGCTCTTGGACTTGCCACTCGACTGCCAGTATGTAGCAGGGCTAAGACTGGAGGAAGGTGATGAGCGAGCTGATGAAATCCAAGGGTTTGTCGGCATGGATCCAGTGGCTGGCGTCTGGGATATACTGGATCTCAGCTGCAGGAAACAGACGCTGGATTTCTGGATAATCCTCAGAGCTGCAGAGGTGGGCAAATGAGGAGCGCAGCATGAACGCAAGGGATAGGCCAGGCACTCTCATTGAATGTTTGAGAAGGAAATTCAAGGAGCGTGAATAAACTCAATGTACATATGTCTGTATAGCCATCGGTGTTTTACCTGATATAGGCAGAGTTGGTCCCACCAAGGAAGAGAGTTGGCCCGTGGTATGTGGTGTTGAACTCTGGGAAGCTCAGGATGTTTTCCATGTGGTTGGAAATGGCCTCCAGGTTGACCCTCCATGCATAGTGGCCGTTCTGCTCCACCAAGTTGGTCAGCAGGAACTGCCTGACTGACCGTTCCTGCCACAGAAACCGTAAAGGTGAAAGGATGTGAAATGCTATCATAATTACTGTGTTCCATGGCACCACATTGCTTGACAAGTGCATCTGCCATGAACAAGTGCATAAGTGCAGCAGAAGGAACAGAGTCTGTTACTACGGTAATGACCCCAGACCAACCTTGACAAGTTCACGGAGCTGGTCCTCAGCCAGTCGACGTGCAGTAGAGCGTGGGAGGTCACTGGAGATCTTCACACCCTTCATGGCCTGGATGTAGTTGTGGAAGTTGGTCCGAGTAACGGTCCGAGCGGGGCTGATGTCCACCACCACCAGCCGCTCCACCAGATCTGACTGGGTTTGGGCCAGAACGTTAGCTGTGCATCAGCACACTTTGCTACCTACTTTGTAAAATGCCTTTAGACAAAGCTAAAATGCTAACACTCTGACCTTTTACCCCTTTATGAAGTTGGATGTTTTGCTGAATTCATAATCCCAGCCCTAGGGGGCTTGAATCCTGCAGGTTTAAATAGAGCCTGAAGGGCAGCTGAAACACTAGATTTTTTCATATTTTTCTAAGATTTAACATAATTAAGAAATTAAGAAATGATGTTCTGTTGTCCATAAGTACTGGGACTTGGGATCCTAGGGTCTTGTGCTTCTATCATGGACACAACAGCAAGACTCCAGATGAGATCTGAATCTGGAACCTTTTGGTATTAAATTCCTTAGCCACTGTGTTTCAGGCATGCAATTTGCACTGGAGGATTTGTTTACTTGTGTTAGGGCTGTTGTCATGGCCACCTTGCCTCCCATGCTGTGTCCAATCAGAACACACTTTGTTATGTGCAGCTGGCCAAGAAGATGCTGGAGATCATTGGTCATTGCCTCATAGGTCAGCATGGGGCTGTGTGTGCTGTTTCCATGGTTTCGAGCATCTATGGTCAGCACCTGACTGGACAAAGGAGAATTAGGACACTAGCAGACAAGCTGGATTGACAAAACGTTCACAGGCAGCATTCACACAAAAAAAAGTTCATGTGAAATTAATGTGCAAGATGGACAGATTTTGTTTTGCAGCAGACATGCTGCATGTCCAAGCATAATGAAGATCAAAAAACAGCCACGCCAGCAGGGGGGGCTGTGGTAGCAGAGCAGACGTGTTCAAAAGCCCCATCTCATGGACTTTACTCACTCGGGTAACAGACGGGGCCTGGTCCTACCTTCCTCCCTGTCCGTTGAACCAGGGACTTCGCTATGGAGTGGAAATTGGATTTACTTCCAAACAGTCCATGCAGGAACACGAGTGGAGGGTCAGTTCCTTTCCCATCAAAAACGTCATATGTCAGATTTACTGGGCTAAAAAAAGAACATTTTTAATCATTTCAAAATCACATAAAAATATACTTTAACTGCTGGTTGATTGTATAGATCACAGTTCAATTACCTTTGTGAGGCACTTTGAGACGGTTTGAGTATTGTTTAAATTAATTGCATTATTAATAATAATGATTATTATTATTATTATTATTATTATTATTATTAACAATCCAGTTATGATTCGACAAGTCTCAAGAGCAGTTAAAGCAGAGAAAACTAACATAAAACAACACATAACATAACAGTGTGTCCCACTAGCTTAAAATCAGCCAGAAGTCAGGACCACCCACAACTGGTGACTTTGGCCTGTTTACTGGTGACTTTGACCTGGGGGTACCAATTACTTCAAAGATTAAAAAAATTAACATAATACCCAGTGCAATAATTATTTATCTTGCTATTAATACAAGAGTTTATTTTCCAATATGTAATACAGTGTGCTTCGCAACAGGACAGTTCAATTAAATCTGTTACAACTGCAAAATTACAAATTATACTTCAGTCGTGACACTTTGAAAGCAAGAATGAATCGGGGAAATTGTATTTCACTCACGTCACATATCATCCCTTCCATTAGCACCGGGAGTGTTGGACACAGTAGTAGCGTGTTAGAAACGAGTTATGATCTTAAACGCATGTTAAGGACGTGTTAAGGACACACACCTGGCCGGACCGGCGCTGTCACGACGCCCCTGGTCCAGTAGAGGAGACCCGCAACAAAAAGACCGAGTTCCAGTACGCCGTTCGTAAACAAACGCTCCACGGAGGAGGCGGCAGAAAAGGCTCATGGTCGCGCAGGGTGTCACGGCTGTGCAGCTGGCTCTCCAAATATCACACGTGTACCCCGAAAATGTCCACTGTACGCTTTTCTGATAATTCAGGCAGGGACGCAAAATACAGCTGCACCGAACGCGCTGGGAGGGCAGGGCAATGGCGTGCGTCACGCATCATAGCGTCACTGTGACGTCATACGTACCTCGCGCTCCGTGTTCGGTTAACTTAAACATTAGAAATTGATATTTTTTTCTGTTGAGTTTTCTATGTGGTTTTTCTGTTGATTGTTTTTCTATCTCACCTCAGCGATATTAAGTCATCTTCTTTTCACGTATAACGTTTGCGATTTATTTTCATATTATTTTAGGGTTAATACAAGCTAGCTAAATATTGGCAGTCAAGCCTTTAATATATCAAATATATTATATTATATTATATTATATAATATTATATTATATTATATTATATTATATTATATTATATTATATTATATTATATTATATTAATGTATTTTTCACGCTACCGAAAGGTGGCGCAAGTGCTACAGAAATAATGACGGGTTTTATTCAAACGTAGAGTTTGTTTTCGCATATAAATTTCAAAGGATATTTGGAAAAGCTCTGAAACCGAGAACACGGTCACAGAAGACGGCACCCTTATAACTTATTGTGTTCGGATTACTGTAATACTGCTTAACAGATCTTAACTATATCCCTAGTTTATCTTAGTAAATAAACTCCCAGACTTACGGTGTGTTTATAGACTGAGGCTCTTACTTCTGGTCGTCGTCCGTGCAGTGACGGAACAAAATAAGCGCTTTGATAATAGATTGATTATGAGAGGACCTCAAATCTTGTGTGGGTCACCTGTGTACACCGGTGTGTGTGGGTCTCACCTGGGAGAGTAAGGTGGGGTTTATGAAAACTACCTAGTTTCGTCCCGGCGGTGAACAGAGTAGGCTACTGCTATTCTGTTCTGTGATTGATTTTATCAGGCTTAGACAGTTGGGTACTTCCCAAGTTTGTTTTCAGTGGCTGTTTCCAGCCACAGTGGCGCAGCCATTAATGTTGATTTACCTCCAGGGTATTATGTGCTGGCCTCTCCGAATGTCACACACTGCTACTGCAGCCGGAGAGCTCCGATTCACGGAGAAATAGACCGTCCCTTTGTCTCTGTCAGTTCCCCTAAGAAAAGCAGCCGTGTTGGCAGTCCGTAACCATGGGAAGGCTGCGAGTCTGGAGGTGGCTCGCAAAGGGTGAGAGATCGCCCCCCCCCTCCAAAAAAAAAAAAACAGAAATCCCAGTAAGACTTTTCAGCTCTTTTATCTATCCAGCAGTTTGCGTTTATCTGACGATTTTATTCAAAGTGACCTACAGTAGAGGGTTATAATTCATGTGCACTGCCTGCGATTTGAAGCCACAGCATGCTTATAATACTTGTAGAACTTCAGGAGCTACTTTGGCTGTTGTTCATGTGTTATCCGTTTCCATTCCTGTACCGATTATGGTTCTGAACCCAAATAAACACAATGAGCGCATAATGGCCCATACTATCCCTGCGGGCTTTCACGTCAACTGTGGTGCCTGAATTTTACCGATAAGTGTTACAGCGTCAAAAAACAAATATAGAGCCCCCCCGATTTGGATCCTTTCATTAATTAAGCACTTCTCAAGGTCATTATCACTTATTTCAAGTGATTTTTATTTGAAATGATATTTGGTTCTAGTAAGATTACGTTAAGTTTTTTAAGAATGTGTAATGTGTAAAAAAAAGAAAAATGTATGACGCGGTCTGCTTGGGGTAAAAACAAAACCAAAAATAAAATAATAGCTTCTAAAACAAAACAAAACAGCTGCCCTCTCCTTCAGGAATAACAGGAGGCAGAAAGAAGGTCATGTGGACTGTCTGGAAGAGACAACTTACACTAAGACCAGACCCAAAAGTGGGAATTAACATAAGACACACTGTGAGTCATCACACATATTGCCTTCCAGTTTTGCCTGTCTTGGAGAACCTGAATGCGGAGGAACATTTCGCACCTCAAAGTATTATCTTTTTTTTCAGGAAGGCTTGTGTCTAACAAATTCTGGCACTTAACATAACATAATTATTTGCAAGAAATCCATGGTACTTTTCATTCAGCACCAATTTTAAACTGCTGCTTGACTAGTTGCAGTAAATTCCACACTTAGGCTCTGTGTTAATCTGTTTGTTCTGTTTCACACGTGATCCAGCAAATTGATGAATTATCTCCAGGCTGTGCGGGCTGCTTTTTATAGATATCACATTTTTTTTCTTAAAGGGAGTCGGCTGAAATATTTCAGTTGGGAAACCCAGGATGTTTTCAGTATGTGCTTTTGTAAAACTGCAGGCTCTGAGTGGGGAAGGAGAATCGATCCATTGTTGAAGGGACCTGGAGATCCTCCTACACAGAAACCTCCCGTCCAAAAAGGCTACATGCCCATCTTGGTGTGAGAGCGGGGGCTGCAGGAAACGGACTTCAGTCTGTAGCATCTCCATGGCTGCGTAACAGGCAGGGGAATCACCTCTGGGAACTGCAGTGCTTGCCTTCGTAGCTTTTCCCGTATTAGCAGCTGTAATGGAGTGTGGGGGCTCAGGTTTCTAAGAGGAAATTGGGTTAGCCTGCAGGACACTCCCCCAGACATAAATGATGTGTTTGTTCATAATTCCCCTCTTCACGAACAGTCATCCACAGTTGTGTTTGGTTTGGCTGCAAGACGCCTGAGAGCAAATCATTAGATAAATAGCAGGGGGTCACTTAGGTAAAGAACTGTGGCAACTTCTTCACAGTTGACCCCCCCCCTCCGCACGCTTACACCACTTTTTCTCTCAAACCTCAACCTTTATTGTGATGTTTGCTCATTGTAATGAAAACATACCTCTTTAAAACGAGCCACAAAGAAATGCAGCCCAGCCATTTAGGCTGCTTGCAGTACGCCTTTATTTCAATGCCTAACATAATGGCTGCTCTTTCAGAAGCAGTGAGGGTGTCCAGTGAACCAGTGAGGTGCCTCCTCTTTCTGAGACACACAGGTGCTGGGCAGCAGGAACCTCCCACCTGTGTCGGCACTAGTATCGGTCACATGACCGTGGTTTCACTGCAGTCACTATGGGAGAGAAGGGATTCAATTTCCTGACGTAGTCTAGAATTTTTTTTTAACCGCAGGGCAAAGTTTTTGATGGGAGGCAGGGATTGAGTCCATGGAGTAGAGAATGGAAACCCCTTGACCTTGGAACTTCTCCTCTGCTGTCAGAAAAAAGGGTGACAATTTGTACCTTTACTTGTCACTGGGGCTGTACCCTCAAGAGTCTGCCAATCATACCCTATAGCTGTCACTGTTGAGTATTTCAGATCCAGAAACTAGAAATCCAGACCAAGATTTTGTTTCTACCAACCAGGTGCGTACTCTATGACTGTCATTCTTTTTACTCATCTGGTTGATAGAAACATTTCTGTACCTAAAATGTCCAACACTGACAGCTGTAGGTAATTGTACCTTTTAAGGTACAGAAGTGGACTCTGAGGAACATCCCCAAGGTACAAACAGCATTAATGTACCATTTCTGTACCTGAAAAGGTGCAAGTACCTGCAACTGAGGATACAGTCCAGTAACAAGCAAAGGTACAACCTGGTTGTCTTATTTCCTGACAGTGTTCTACATTTCCCTCGCTCCCCTAAGCACCAATGTTGCTTAAATGAGATTCTCATGGATGACATGGCAATGCAGGTGGGAAACAAAACCATTGCTACAGAATGAATTATAATACTGTATCAGGTTAGTGTCCAGCTGTAATAGAAATAGAAAACACGAATGGAATAACGATTGTTGGATATGAAGGTGACAGAAGCTTCGCTCTGGATGAACACATAATGTACATTCATGCAAGTGGAACTTGGCTCTGCATATTGCAGAAGAATTCGCCATATTTTCTAATTTCTGAGTCGGCATTAACACTTTCCGATATGAATTGCTAAAAATACAGCACTCCAAACCATAATAACGCAACATACATTGGCAGGTACACGCATTACAACGGAACACAGCGAAATATCAAGAATAACCAGCTTGGGCGGCTGTATCAGAGCGTGACAGAGGGAGGCAGAGCCCGTTACTCAGCACAGACTTTGATTTCATGCTTTTTAGCAGGACATTGCCAGATTTATGTGAAATGATGCTGTTTGCTTGGAATCTTTATAGACCTGCTCTAATGTTGGGGGAGGGAAATGCACCGGCAATGGGAGGTCATACTGGAGAAGGAGCTGAATAAACTGGAGAAAACTGGAAAAGTCCTGCCAGGGTTTGGTTGATGACTCTCGTCTGGACTGGAACCCAGGAAAATTGTATCATAAGAAGTCTGATGAAAAGGTGGTTAGCAGAGGTCTACAGCATAGCGAATCAAAATATAATTTTTACCACAGACATAGTATTTGAAAATGCAGTCTACATGTTGTCTTTTTTTATTATTCTCAATCAAAATATTTCACCACGGTTAGAGATGAGCCTTGCCACTGACAGCTTTGTCTGTGCATGGACAGGTTGACAGTCTCTGGCAGTTAGGCTACAGATTCCGTTCCTAGGATGAGAAATCTTAGTCATATACTTGAAAATCAGCATTTTGAGTCTATAATGATAATAAAAAATGTTATAAAATAGCCCGTAAACTCTTTTGGTTTTGCACCAGGTGTTTGCTGCATCTCCAGCTCTGCTCCTTGGTTTATCTTATTAAATTAGAGATCACCATTCTCACCCCTATTGCCAGGTGCAACTCCCTCCAATGGCCTTGCCAAAGAATGTACCAGCAGCTGTTTGCATAAGTGTTTCACTTCCACAGAGAACCAAATCCCAAATTGGAAACTCCCAGTTGCTGAATTCTTTGTCAGGCAGCTACTCTAGGTGAGTTAATAGCGGCCCTGCACTAGACCTTCGTACCAGTTTCATAATTATGCTTCCATCAGTAAATACTTTAAAACCTAAATGTTAACACCAGCAACTGATCTACTCCCAGTGAAGGCCCATCAAATGCATACAATGACAGCTTTGATCACAATATATCCTACTTCACAGACAGTACACACACAGTACACACAGTGGTTGTCACCCAGATGTATGATCCCTGTATGAACAGCCAGGG